CCTAGGTTTAAGGTGATGGCAACAACCACCACTATCCGCACACTAGGGAAGCGCCTGTGCAGCGGCAGTGGGCGCAAGGCGACAGCGGCAGCCCGGACGCTGGCTGACCTCTCTTATGGCATAGACAACAAAACAGCCATCATAGCAGCCGGCGGCATCCCGGCGCTGGTGCGGTGCCTGGGCAGCAAAGACAGCACCGAGGCATTGCAGCAGGAAGCAGCCGCAGTTCTGTGCAACCTCTCTTCAGGCAGCCCCGACAACAAGGCAGCCATTGCAGCAGCCGGCGCAATCCCAGCCCTGGTGCAGCACCTGCGCAGCAGCAGTGAGCAGATGCAGGAGGTAGCATCCACTGCGCTGCGGAATCTGGCCTGTGGCCCCGACCATAAGCTGGCCATTGCGGCAGCTGGTGCCATCCCAGCACTGTTGCACTGCCTGCGCACAAGCAGCAGTCATTTGCTGGAAGCAGCAGCCGGGGCGCTAGGCAACCTGGCTTACAAAGCACCTGACCACGGCGCAGCCATTGCGGCGGCAGGCGGGATCCCGACACTTGTTCGGCAGCTGCGCAGCACCAGCAGCCATGGTGTGCAGGCAGCAGCAGTCATCGCGCTTGGAAACCTTTTGACAGCCTACCCTGCACACAAGGCAGCCGTTTCAGCAGCTGGAGGCATTGCTGCCCTGGTGCAGCCTTTACGTAGCAGCGGCAGCGAGGAGGTGCAAGCTCGAGCAGCTGATTTGCTCGGCATGCTGGCCTCTGACAGCGCCGACAACCAGGCTGCCATTGCAGCAGCAGGCGCCATCCCAGCCCTGGTGCGGCACCTGCGCAGCAGCAGCAACGCGGTGCAGGAGCAAGCCGCCAGCGCGCTTTGGAGCCTCTCTGAAGGCAGCCCTGACAGCAGTGCAGCCATTGCAGCAGCTGGCGGCATCCCTGCTTTGCAGCAGTTGCACCGCAGCAGCCCAAGCGACACGGCACGGGAGGCTGCAGCTGCTGCATTGCGAGGACTGGCTGACAACGGCCAGGCTGCGGCTGGCGTGCCCTCTCCTGAGAGCGCAGCAGAAGGGAGTGCGGCGACTGCAGGCGACCCAGCAGCAGCACTCACACCCCCGGTGGTTGCCTTAGGTGCAGCAGAGCCTGCTGGCCCCACTGTGGCAGCAACAGCTGTTGCCAGGGTGTGTGCAGCTGATGGCTGCGCCAACACACGTCGTCTGAAGCTATGTACCGGGTAAGCGCTGTTTGTGTGGAGGGGCAGGGACAGCACCAGCTGTGCCTGCATGCCTTCGTTCACTGCCTGCACTGCTTCAGCTGTTTCCTGCCGGCAGGTGCCGGGCTGTGCGGTACTGCAGTGAGGCCTGCCAACGCGCGCGCTGGCATGCGCACAAGCCGGAGTGTCGGCGCCTGCGTGCCGCCGCGGCCGCTGCGCACCCCTAAACCAGCAGCCTGCTGCCCCTGGCTGGGCCCTGGAGTGTAGGACGGCCAGGATGCGCCGCCGAATACAGCCCGCCAAGTTAGATCTAGCGCCATGTTGCACTGACGCCTGCACATTTATCCCAGTTTATCTTCATCTGCAATAGATGCAGCTGCGGGCGCGAGGCAAAGCGAGGGAGAGGGAGGGGAGCGGGCAGCGGTGGCGGCGCGGCGACAGCGGCTGCCCGACCATATTGGCTGGGGCTGCTGCCGGTGTTCACACAAAATGCAATGGCGCCCACCTGCCATGCAGAATCAAACGGATCAGGATGCCACTCGAAGCACTGCCCAGCTGTACACTGCAGCTCACATGCCAGATCCCAGGGCCGCCGCCTGCGCTTCACGGCATGGATGCATGTTCAGTCATGTAACGCCATTGGCAGCTTGCAGGGGCAGCTTGGAGGGGGAGTAGCAAGCATGCTGCAGGGCTGTGGCTGGGCCACGGCTGGGCCTCAGGAAGGAGCTTCCTTCGGAGGTCTTGTTTGGGGGGCGCCGGCGCCAAGCGATCCCCTTGAATGCTTTCCTTCGAAGCCCAGCGATGACCACAGTGATGGTTGCTAGCCTGTTGAACATTGGTTGGGCAAAACAAGAGGGTTGTGAACTTGCCACCAGTCCGCCAGCGCCAGCTGGGGCGGGCGGCGGGGATCTCGCGGAAGCGCTGCGCTCACAACCCTAAGCCAGCTTCTCTTGCGATCCGGCTGGGCGTCAAAACACACACA